ATATATATATCTATATATATATATATATATTGATAATTTTATATATATATATATATATATATATATATATATATATATATATATATATATATATATATAATATTTGAATTATAGTTTATATATATTTGTGACTTTAATACTGTACATTAAATGAACAGGTCTGTTTAGGAATGCACCGATATTAATTTTTGACCGATACAATAACCGATAACTCTTCATATTTGGTGGATGCTAGCCTATATATTAGATAAATATATAATTATATATATATATATAATTTATTTATAGGTGGATATATATTCTTGATTTAAATACTGGAAATAAAATCAACAATTCTGTTTAGGAATGCACTGATATGGAATTTTGGACTGATACAATAACCAATAACTCTTTACATTTGTAAGACAATAGCCTATATATTTGACAATTATATAATAATAAATATATATTTGATAATTCAATTATAGTAATATATATTCTTGACTTCAGGACTCTATATAAAATCAACATTTCTGATTTGAAATGCACCAACACAATTGATTTGACCGATAAAATAACCAATAATTTTTCCGATTTGTAGGACCATGGCTGATATATTAGCCAAATATATAACTTTATATATTTAATATTTGAATTTTAGTTTCATATATATATATATATATATTCTTGGCTTAAATACTGTACATAAAATCAACAGTTCTGTTTAGGGATGCACCGATATGGAACTTTTTGACTAATACAATAACAGATAACTCTTTCGTTTTGAAGGACAACAGCCCATATTCTACCCAAATATATAGTTAAAATATATATTTGATGAATTTGAATTATATTTACATAAATTCTTGACTTACTGTACATACTGTACATTAAATTAACAGTCCTAGGAATGCACTGATATGGAATTATTGACCAATACAATAACCGATAACTCTTTCAATCTGGAAGATGATAGCCGATATATTAGCCAAATATATAATTATGTATATGTAATATTTTAATTATAGTTACATATATATAGTTGACTTAAATACTGTACATAAAATCAACAGTTCTGTTTAGGAATGCACCGATATGAAACTTTTTGACTGATACAATAACAATTAACTTTTTTGTTTTAAAGGATAACAGTCTATATTCTAGCCAAATATATAGTTAGAAATATACAATTCATAATTTAATGAAATTTATACATGTATATTCTTGACTTATGTAATGTACATTCCTTCAACAGTTCTGTTTAATGATGCACCAATATAGAATTTTTGACCGATACAATAACCGATAACTCTTCACATTTGGAAGACGATGGCCGATATATAAGCCAAATATATAATTATATATATCTAATACTTGAATTATATTTGCATATATATTCTTGGCTTAAATACTGTACATTAAAGTCAACAGTTCTGTTTATGGATGCACTGATATGGATCTTTTTAACTGATACAATAACATAACTCTTTCTTGTTGGATAATGATAGCCTATATTTTAGCCAAATATATAGTTATAAGTATATATTTGATAATTGAATTATAGTTACATATATTCTTGACTTTCTGTACACACTGTACACTAAATCAACAGTTCTACGAATGCACTGATATGGAATTATTGACCAATACAATAACCGATAACTCTTTCAATCAGGAAGATGATAGCCAATATATTAGCCAAATATATATTTATATACATGCAATTTTTTAATACATATATATAGTTAACTTAAATACTGTACATAAAATCAACAGTTCTGTTCAGGAATGCACCGATATGAAATTTTTGACCGATACAATAACCGATAACTCTTTCGATTTGGAGGACGATAGCCGATATATTAGACAAATATCTATTTATAAATATACATTTGATAATTGAATTATAGTTACATATATTCTTGACTTCAGTACTCCATATTAAATCAACAGTTCTGTTTACGGATGCACCGATATGGTATTTTTGACCAATACAATAACCGATAACTCTTTCAATCAGGAAGACGATAGCCAATATATTAGCCAAATATATATTTATATACATGCAATTTTTGAATACATATATATAGTTAACTTAAATACTGTACATAAAATCAACAGTTCTGTTCAGGAATGCACCGATATGGAATTTTTGACCAATACAAAAACCGATAACTCTTTCAATTTGGAGGACGATAGCCGATATATTAGACAAATATCTATTTATAAATATATATTTGATAATTGAAATAAAGTTACATATATTCTTGACTTCAGTACTCCATATTAAATCAACAGTTCTGTTTACGGATGCACCGATATGGTATTTTTGACCGATACAGTAACCGATAACTCTTTACATTTGAAGGAAAATAGCTGATTTAAATACCATTACTAATGGAATTTCATTTTTCAGTAACAAGTAAGCAAATAAACTACTGTTTCCCCCATTTCAATGCTGTTACTGTGTTATATAATTGGGTTAGGTTTAGGGTTATGCACTAATGATCCCAGAGGTGGTGTTTTTTAATCTATACACTTTAATACCTGTAACATCAGTTGTGTTGTGTGTGTGTGTGAGCATCATATATTTTCTCCTCTGGGTTTAGCAAAGCGTGTGGCCTGGAGAGCAGGTGGTGGCGGCTCTGGATGACCTGGAGGCTCACTGGAAGCGTGGCCGGATGGAGACCCTGCAGTCCGCCATGGAGCTGCTGTTCTGGACACTCGTCAACAAAGACCTGGACAAGGTATGAAGAGGAAGAACGTATGAAAGCCTGGAGCACAAAACCAGTCTTCTGCTGCACATGTTTATTTGTGGGAATAGCCCAAAATACACAGTATA